AGATGTCACTCGGCTGCAGAGAAAGTCCAAGCACAAACTTCAGGTATGCTAATTCCAAAGGATTATATCTATATCTTGATTGTGCAGCTAATTCACATATGTAATCTTCAGATGTCTCGACTAGCACTGCTAAAGACTTTGAAATCAACTATCGATGTGATGTTGGTCAATTTCCCGAGAACGAGGCTTTTGAAGCCGCAGCTATGTTGACAAAGGAGCAAAACAGACTCAATCTCTTGCTTGATCAAACACCGGATACTCTTGATGGCGACGTGATTCAAAATGCAGCAATGTCTATCTCTAACCTGCTCAACTCCAGTGGTACGTTCTAATCATTTTTATAATGTGATTTGATCTATTGACTGAATCATAACTTATACGATAGATGAGCCTGACAACCCAACAGGTCCTACTTGGACAGCTGGAGACGAAGCTTTGTTGAGTCTGATTGACGGCCACAAACTTCACCACAAAAACGTACTTGAAATAAGAAAACGACATGACAGTCAAGTTGCAAAAAATAAAGGCAACGACCGAATGTTGACTGACCTCGATGACTTAAAACGTGATCTCAACTCAACTACTAATGATGGTAGCATGAAACCTAGTGCTTGCTCGAAAGCCATAGCAGTATTTATGAAGTCTTTTTCTGGAACTCCAGCTGGCGCCGCACGTCGACACCGATGGAATATGCACATAAAGATCAATCTCTCTGGGATTACTACAAACACCAGCACAGATCGAGCTTTGGACATGCAGCAGTTATTTGATGGAGGATCTATTGGTGTTGAAAACCCAATTGAGGCAGGTAAATTTATCATCAGCATCAAAAACAATGTACGTTTTTACTTTTGATGCAAAATGTAATCATTGCTGACGTTTCAAGATTTCTTTTATGGGGTTCAGACACTACATCTTGCACGTACAATAGTTGTATATGAGCACATTGCTGGAAAACACGCATTTGTTACGAGTGCTACTTCGAGAAAAAAGCTATCACATGTTGGTGTACAAATATTGCACTATAAACCATGGTTACCGGTGGCAACGGCTACTCAGGAGTCTGCTCCTGACACGTGGACCTATGCTCTACTAGACACCCCGGACATCCTCTACGTCTTCAAGCCCTCTGATGGATCAAACTTCGCATTGGTTTCAGAAGGTTGTTATTCAATCCCGTCGGTCATCCGCGAGATGCTCCGAGATATTGACATTCCCAAGCTTATACAAAGGTACAAGCAAGAAAGACAAAAATTGAAGTCAATTGCTCATGACGGAGAAGATGAATAGATGCATCATTTTTGTTCTTTTGTCTATTTCTTTAACATCTTTATTTGATCACACTTTTGATCCAATCACATTCCTTGTGAACTCACATTCCTTATGAACTCACAATCCTTACAATCCTTGTAAATTACATGCTTGCTATGAAAAAAATCATAATCAAAAAGTTTTCATATGCCTAAATTTGCTTTTGATTGCCGCTGCAGCCGCGAAACCCGGGTCAGCGGTGTATTTAGTTGGGCGGGCCGGGTTCCAGCCTCGGGTAGCTGGATCCCGGCCCCGAGTAGTGACGCTGCCCAGGCTGGGTGAGGTTTGTGACGAAACACGTCGGAATCAGGGAATTTTTTGGGAATCGACCGGCGTTGAGGTGCCCCAACGTCGGAAATCTCGTCACATACCTCAGTAGGCGCATTCCTGGGTCCTTCCTCCATGCTCTGCTCCCCACCAAACATGGCTTCCTCGTCTTCGGAAGAATCTTATTCATCTTCTAGTCCCACATCTCCCCCGCAAACAACTTCAGGCCCTGTTTTAACGCCTTTTCAAATCCATCCATCATCTCTTAGTTACTACTCAACACCGATTGTTTCACCATACCACGCAGCAGGCCTTCCACAAGGTTCCTTTGGATCTTCACTCAATTCGATGGTCTCACTTTCCCAACAAACAAACCAATCAGTCCAAGACGGCGGGAAGCGTTCTTCCAAGAGAGCTTCGGCCAAAGACGGAAAAACTCGGTCATCCTCATCTCGGAAGAGTCAAGGCCGCCATTGGTGATCCTCGTCAAAAAAACCTACCAAGAAAACTGCTAAAGCCGACCCAAAAACAACAGCAAAGACCAGAAAGCCACCAGTACGATGGGACAAAGATCAAAACGAAAAGGGCGAGACCGCCATCGAGCTTCTCTTGAATTGGATTACCACCTATGGAAATTGGGCACGATATAAGTCCAAGGGCCACGGCAAGAGAGAATCCGCCGAGGTTATTGTTGCGTACTTAGAAGAGAAAGGGATTCACGGCCGAGATTGGAAGAACGTTCAAGGAAAGGTGGGTCTTAGAGTCTTTGGACGCTACAAAAGAATGATGATTGATGTGCTATTATGTTCAAGATTGCGGAACTTGAAAAAGACTTTACAGATGCTAGCGATTGGCTCAGACAGACCGGTCAGGGTGTAATGGCATCACTTGGAGAGGAACAAGCTAAAAACGGGTGGACGGAGGATAATCCCGAGTATACAAACAGAAAGAAGTTTCTGATCGATGGTGAGTTTGACTCTCCAACACCGTCTGTGATTGATTCTTTTCACCTAGCCATTCCTTTGTTGTTTCAGATTATATCAAGAACCACAAATGTAAGTACTTCAAGGAGTTGGAGCCGGTAATGGGAGTTCGCGACAAGGCTACACGACTCTCGGCAGCAAGCAGTACCCTCCCCCCAAACCCTGAAAGCTCTTTAGACTGTTTGGGCTTAAGTCAAAAACGAGATTCGATGCAGGTTGAGGAAATGGACACTTATGAAGATGAATCCGGTACGGGTACTCATAAGTTAAACAAGTCAGTTTTGAGTCCACGTAACGACGATGATCACTCTCAAGCCTCGAATGATCAATTCCACCTCCGTACTCATCAAATCGAGGATGATGACTTTGATGTGTCTAATGAGGATGTTCGGCGTCTTCTGGATGATGATCCAGATTTGTTAGGTATGTAGACTCACAGTAGATAAATTGAATTATCATAGCTAATTTCAAATGCTTTGTTTGTAGAAGTCAAGAGCGTTGAGACTTCTACAAAGAAGAACAAATCGATCCAAAAGGCTTATAGTACAACGTCGCTCTCTTCTACCTCTACGCGGAAAGCTCACAAACCTGGAGCAGATACCCAAGTGGTCCGTCTATTGGAAGGTCAGGAGTCGAAAATCAACTCGTCCATTTCCAAAATCGAGGAGGTAGTCCTTGCTTCAGAACGCAAGGACAACCACATTGGCGAAGCTCTCAAGGATCTCGTGCAGGCCCTAAAACCCAAAAAGGATCCTCGTTCGTTGTTATCTGAAGAAGAACAGGTTGACCTGGCAAGACTTGACATGAAAAATCAACATCTGAAAATCGAGGCCGCTGAAATTGAGGTCAAACGCGCAAAACAAAGTATGAACTTGGAGTTTGCTGCAGCAAGAGGTAAATTCATTGCTCAGCTTATGAAGGATAATGGCTGGACTGTGGAACAAGCGAAAGCAGTCGCGGATGAGGTCTTTGTAGCGCCTGATAATTAGTAAGATAATTAGTAAGTGTTTTAACTTTATCTTACCTCGAAGATCAAAACTTGACTTTTAAATGATATGTTTTCAGACTTTAAGACTTCGTCTCTGGTTTCAAATGGTCCAATTTCAATATCTACATTATTATAGGTCTTGTTTGCGTTTTCAAGATATCGTGATGTTTGTCGTTTCGTTTTCAAGATCTTGTTGTGTTTGTCGTTTTTGAGCTATTACTGTGCAAAGTGACGTTAGGATATAAAAGCTTCCTAAAAAAATGGCAATTGTTGGAAGTGTCTTTCAGACAGTTTGCAAACTTCTCATCTCGCTTTCAACCTTGTGATTGTTTTCAGCGGTTGTTATTTAATTTTGTCTCTCATATAGCAAGATGAAGTGTCTCGACAGTGAAATATATTTCCACTATCACATCGTTTCAACAGAAGCATGTACAAAGTGAGGAAAATCATTACAAGTTTTTAAGACCTTTGTAAATGTTCATATAATTAATCCGGAACAAAAACATAGATTTGGTATTAATCTTCATGAGTCGCTACAAAAGCCTCAAAAAGAGCATCTCTACGAAAGGAAGTTCTACCATTATTTAAATCATTTTCAGTCTCGTCAGAAGGTAAGTTTGGTGGAGGTCTTCTTTGTCTAGACACGTGAATCAGACCCTCTTCGATTGAACCAAATTCTGCATGCCATATTTCGCCATTTGCTGTTAAATAGTTATGTAGTATGATACACGCTCGTATCCACGCATTAGCTCGTTGGGCACTTCGCACGTTCTTGATTAGGATTCGGAGTTCCTTAAGTGACTGAAAACGTCCTTTGAACATTCCAATTGTCTGTTCGATGGCCACTCTCAATTTACTTAACTCTTCATTAAAAGCTTCCTGATGCGACCTGAGTTGTTGACCTTGTCCGCGTTTAAAGGGTGTAATGACATGATCAGAGACCGTGTAACCGGAGTCAGCAAGGATGTAGTCGTTATCCGAAAGGAATTCTTCCGGGCTGTGGTAGAGCTGTTTGTCAAGTTTGTAATTAGCTGTGGGCCAAAAAGACACATCTACGAGATGTCTTACCGGGGTGGAACGATAAACACGTTGATCATGAGCAGATCCACACCATCCCAACTCATAGTATCTGATTTTTTTGTTTATGTCGCAGACCAACACCAGAACCGCTCCGATACGCTATGGATTTCAACCCATTTTGGTATCGGAGCGGAGTAACCGCTATGAGATCACCAATACTCAACCGATATTTTTTTTAAAAAAATATCACAAGGTATCGGAGCGGAAGGTATTTTACCGCTCCGATACCGCTATATATCGCTGCTATAAGGGCTAAAAGGCATATTGAAGTGCCCTCAGACCCTTCCCATATCGGAGCGGTCAGACCGCTATTGGTTTTCTCGCCTTGGGATGGCGGAGCGGAGCCACCGCTACGTATAGTGGTCAATATAGCGGTGTAAAAACCGCTCCAATACCGCTCCGATACCGCTATATGTTGCGGAGCGGTTCTGGTATTGCGCAGACCAACATCACATTGAACGCGTAGAAGTTCTTTTGAGTCCAGTAGTCCTCCGGATTCTTGACAGGCGCCATCGCAAGTGGAATCAAAGTGCCGTCCATGAACGCAACCGAGTCTTTAAAGGTACCGGATTCGAGTTGAGTCTTCAAATGCTTGCGCTCTTCTTCATGGGGCCAGCGGACCCAATCCTTCTCAATTTCTAAAATTGCATACACACAACGATTTGTCCAGTTTTGTACACTACCCTCTAAGTGGAAGAAATCAATGGTTTTAATCTTCATTGAGATGAATAAAGAACCAAAAAAGCGACTCACCTGAAATGTGAAACATATAAGCAAGATGATTGTGGTCACCACCGTTTCCCGAGCTACCAAGATTCGCAAGTGCAACTAAAAGCTGCCAGGCTACTGGCACCTGTTTGTTCGGAGATAAATTTTGAAACACCTTGCTACCCTGAATCTTGTTAACCAAGTCCCAAAATCGATCCTCACTCATTCGAGCCTATATGAGAAAAGTCATCAGCAAACCCCTTCCAAGCTGCCCAAATCTATAAGGTGGAAACTTGCAATTCCTACAAAAGATTGAACCCCTTCCCAAATTCTATGAGGGAATGCTGCATTTCTCAAATCTTTACGTTCACGTGATAATCGGTCATGAATGTATCGAGTTGATTGCAAAATCTTCAGAGCTTCTTGAAGACGATCCACTTCGGAGTCGGCAATTTGGCGCAAACGTCGTCCAAGGAGCACAAGTCGGACGCTTTCAGCCCTTGCTAAATGATACTCAAGAGCTGCAAGTAACAGAATGGCCAACGGTCGTCTGGTATTGAAGTCGTCATCAAAGTTGTCTAACTCGTCGATATTGCCTTTGGGATCACCATCGGTCTCCGCATTGAATTCACGCTGTGCAACGAGTGCTTGAAGACATCGGAGGATGAAAAGACTCTCCGCATCCTGTTCCCGCTGCAAAGCCAGAGTAGCCACCTGCAGTTGTGCCGTACGATTTGTCTCATTTAGTGACCGGTGTATGGAGTGTTTCAGGAATCGACGACGGGATGTTCGAACCATGGCAGTAAGCTGAAGCCAGAGATAGTTGAGTAAAATATGTGGTCGAGAAATACGGACGTAGATGAGAACCATGCGAATTAGAAGAAAAAAATTGAGGATGAGGTCCTCCACATGGAGTCTAGATGGATGTGATGAGTGGTAAGGGGACTCAAAAAGTAAGTACTACGAGCTGATCTGGGTCAAACCTCAAGGGCTTATGGCTGGGGCATTCAAACATGTCTGATTTGTCAGGAAGTCAGAAAGTCAGAACACACCAAAATTTGGTTTTCTGACGTTCTGAAAAAACCTTGGAAAATTTTCCAATTTTTTTCTGAATTTATATTTGTATACCATAAATGTCACTTATGAAACAAGTGAGCAAGTATAACAACAAAAAGTGAAATGATTGAATTAGAGTTGAGGTCTGTTGATTGTAAACTATCATGTGATGAATTTTCAATGATCTCATTGAAAGTACAAGTACAAAAACTATCTTGCCTATGTAAGATAAGTAGAACCATTTTGAGAATGCACCGAGGCAGTGGTGCTAGGTATAGACCAGACATCAGAGTAAATATAAATATGATCAAGATGGCTTCACTTGATCTTATTCGAAATTTCCATGAAGTCTATTCGACGATACTTTGGGATAAGGAATCGCATCTGACCACTCCTGACCACTCACATCAGCTCACATCCCTATCAACTTACCACCTGGGTAAAAAAAGATTGAATACACTGAAGAAAACTTTGGAGTTGGAGTGAAGAAGTTTCGTTTTCTCTACTGATTTTCTCACAAATCTCAATGTCATCATGGTCAATGACTAAAGATCTAAATCACATCTTGTTGATGTTGTTCGTGTTGTGAAGTCAAAAGACAAAAAAATGAGACAAAAAAGATTCATCATAAATCAGTCAAATAAATTTTCACAAGGACACTAACAAGCAAAAACAAACACGATACATGGAAAGAGTGAAGTTTTTGGTTTGAGTACTAATTTTACAAGTAGAGAAAGAGAGAGAGAGAACAAAGAACATTAATAATGATAGTAGAGTAGATCTCTTATTTGTTTGAGTAGGCCATACAAAATATTGAATTGATATACACATAAAATTAAGTACTAAAGTGATACAACAAAAAGAGAATTAGAAAAACGAAAAAAAGCAACCTTCGATCTTTGATCAAGTCTAGACATGATCACAAGTATCTTTGCTACAGAAGTCATACAGAAAAATTCAGACCAAGATTCAGACGGGCATTCTCCAATTGAAAAAGTAAGATTATTAAAAAAAGATAAGATGGTTTGCTCAGACAGACTAACCTAAAAGCAACCTAATCAAGACACAAATCTAGGGAAATAAGATGTACTCATTTCGTAAGGCGAGTGAGCTCTTCCACAATCATGACCTACTAAAGGTGAACTAGGTAAACTTGCTCCAAATGATGATCCACTAGATAGTTTCATGTTAGATTCTATTAATCCGAGTACAGACAATGTCTTTTCTCGAATCGGATATGAAGACGTTGGTGAAAGAAGGCTTCTGTTGAACGATCTCGCCGCATGATTTGTATCGCTTGGTCTTTGGTCTGGCTGAAACAGTAAGATGGCCAGAGCTTGATAGAATAGGTGACTCGCCAAGACCTTGAGAGTGCGAAGCTTCCTTTTCGATTTTCACAATGGGGTTCGCAGGTTCTGCGATTTCTTCTTCTTCAAATACGCTACCGATAGAGAATCCTTCACTTGATGAGCCAAGCGAAGATGAAGTGGCGATCAACGGTGGAACGGCAGCAGTTTGTTTGAAACTGTTGGAGGTGGGCAATCCATGGGTACTGCTAGAGACCGACCGCCGAGCAAGATGACGATGTAAGGGTGAACATGAGGTGCGATTTACTGGTGATGGTTGACAAACAGCGGGGTTGGAAACAGTCTCGCCGTCCGTGTCGGGATTGTTGTCCTCCTGCACAGCGGCAGTGCTTGCCATTGAAGCTCCATCGCTTCCAAAAATCGTGTTTCTTCCTGCCAATGGAGAACTTGCAAAAACTGCCGAAGGACTAGTGATAGTGAATGCAGGGTCTAGAGTAGTGCGTGCGGCCGATGATCCAAATGGAAATTCTCCCACCGGAGCGGATGGTTGACGAAGAGTTGCTTCGCTGGATTGGAGCGCCCAGGTTCGGATACTGTGGTATAGATTAGGACGAGTGGCAGTTTGGACTTCATTCTGTTGAACTATCGAAGGAGAACTGATGGCGGATGACTGGAGGGATGGTTCGACGTTTCGATGTGATTCCCAATCGGAGAGAGCAGCATCGCGTAAACGTTGAGCCATTGACCAACCATTTTGGGCAGATGCCTCATCGTCATCCGAAGTCTCATCCTCCGGTTCTTCGTAATGAGGAAAGAGAACCGATGGTGAATAGGAAATGAAATCACTTGTAGTTTCAGTACGATAAGAGCTAAACTGACTACGTCTCAAGTTAGGCCGAGAGATCTCGACAGGAGGAGACGGATACATCTGACTCGGAAAATAGTTGGAGCTGGAAGGAAAATTATAAGAATCTTTAAGCCCAATGGTAGGAGAATCAGGGGTCGTGACGTGATTAATTGAAGGAGTGAGACTTGAGGAAACTAGACAAGGTGGAATAGAATGTGAAATCAAGTTGGGACTCGTAAAAGTAGAGAGATCAAGAAGTAGAGTAGGTGGTGAATCAGACTGAGTTGATTGACTACCATCAACACCTCTGATCACTATAAAAAATCAAATCAAAAATGTAAACCAAATGATAAGCATCTTTCTGGAGCGAGTGGGTTAGACAAGGCGGTGTAGGTTGAAATCAACTTAGTTACCTTGATCCTCTTCAACATCACCTACAGCTTCATTAAAGACTTTCTCGGTTGTAACATCTTGAACGGCCTCATAGAGAGAGTGAGATGATTGAACAGCTTGGGTCGCTTGAGTTGACATTCTGTTACCCTGCGCAAACATCTTTACAGTGGAAAGACACATTAAAAAATAAATTTCGCTCCGAGAAGAAGGAAGAGAAAGGAGAACTAACGACAGAAAAAGTCTTGAAGAATGGAAGATGAGATGAGATAGTCTATGAGAGTACTGAAAATGGACTGATCAAGTATGACAAAAGGGTAGATTGAGGCTAAAAATTAAATTAATTTTCGGCTGGTAAAGACTGGATAGATTGGATTGCAACGATGATAGCGATCAAGCACCAGATAAGAATAATTCTAGATTGAGGGGTGATGGGTGATGTAGAATCAGTGAATGTGATTGATTGAAAAAGTGAAAGGTGTTTGCAGAGCGAGTGTAGGAAGGAAGAAAGTATGCGGCTCTTAAATAGCTGTCTTTCAAATTCTAGGAACAGAAAATATCAGGGCACTCGGAGCGATCTTCAAAAAAGCTGAGCTCAACCACTGTCTACTTTTTTAATTGACAAAAACGTCATCTTCCATTTCCTTAACATCGGCCCTGTTTCTGATCCATCACATAATCATCGACTTCAATTCCCTTCATTCTAATCTGTCCTCATCAGTGATTTCTACTCGACCAAAGCGTACAATACGTTCACATCTTACGCACGGATGCAATTCCTACCATGCGAGGTAGATTGATTGATTAATCGAACTGGCTTTTTACAAGACATGCCTTCTTGTTTTATGACGTCAGTTTTGAACCAAGCTTGGCAATTGTGTTTACAGTTTGGTTCCTCGCAATCCGATGGCTGGAATAACGATAATATGCGGTCATACTCCCACCGTGGGCAAAAGCTTGTCACACTCACAAGTTCAACGAGTGTTGCTGTTGAGTTATATACGTGTGTTACATGACTAGACTAAAATATGTGTGTAGAGAGTTATGCTTGTAGTGTGATTAGGTTAGATTATCTTTTATAGTCTCGCTCCACCCGGTCTAATCCTTTCTTCACTATCGAAGATTGGTTTGGTTCTTGGACCGGGTGAAGCGACGAGCACTAACCTATAGCTTTAACAGGTTAGTAAACTATTGCAATACTATCGAAGATTGGTTTGGTTCTTGGACCGGGTGAAGCGACGAGCACTAACCTATAGCTTTAACAGGTTTTGAGTCCCAGTTGTGATACCAGCTGTGTTTGTTGTTGATGGTCAAGGTTATGCTCGAAATTTTTTAAGCTATCGTTTATCGATCAATCGATGCAAACCAGAGGTTCAAAGAAGAAAAACCCAGATCCCGTTAACAACAACGACACCCAAGCGCCCAAGAACACTACCAATCCCGATTCCGACTCCGATAAGGACGTTGACTTGCTACCCACAGGGCAAGAAAAGATAAATATCAAGTTAGAAGATTTAGATAACAGCTCCGTTTTAGTTTCAAGTTCAAAATATTCAGATTCAAAACCATTAGTTTCAAAAGTTTCAAATTCCGATATGTCTAAAGATCAGCCACCCCACCAAGAGGGTTATACCGGATGGAGTTTTATGCTTAAGATGCCTCAATTAGTACAAGGCGCAGTTACTCAACTCAACGAAACTGGTTCCAACTACCTAGCTTGGAAGAGTGACTTATATGTTTTAGTTGATCACATCACAAAAATCAAAGATTATTTAGATAAAGATCGAAGCACCGTACCAGGTGATGATGTTATTGTTTTAATGATTAGAACTTCTCTTTGCTCTGAACTTAGAACGCATGTTGTTGTGAGCGAATCAGCTCACATGGTCTTTAATAAGCTCAAAGCGATGTTTCATTTCCCGAGTCGATCTACTCACCTCACCTTATGGCAAGATATTTTACAGTCTAAAGTGGATTCATTGTCTGACATCCCAGCTCATATTAACAAGATCAAATCAAAGATAGAAGAACTACAACGTACTGGCTTCTCTTTCGATAAAGATTCTTTTCTCAGCATCGCTATGCAACTAGGTCTCCCTCCTACTTTCTCAAATGTCAATACGATTCTTGATTCTCGCTTAAGAAGTACCCCCGATAAGACGATCACTGGTCGCGAAGCTGAAGAGGCGATTCGATCGGAGACCTATCGTCTGGCTTCCTCTGCCGCCGACCCTTTACCTAGCTTTGCAGCCCTATCCTTCAATGAGCGGAACCATCAATACGGGACACGCTCGAAGTCTCAAGCTAGTATGCCGAGTCGTTCTGACTACCGGCGAGCCCCTCCATCACAAGGCTCAAACCAAACTCCCCAGTCTAAGCCGAACTTCAAGATTGGCCCGAACACCCCAGCCCATCTGAGGAACTGCTTTGACTGTGGCGCGTCGGGACACTGGTCTAAAACACCACAATGCCCTAAATCGCCAAACTACCAACCCGAGCTCTCCCAATCAACGTCTCGCGGTCCCTTCAGAGCAAACCTGGCTGATGCCTCTCAAGGATACGAATCCTCACCTCTTCCTCACTCGATCTACAGTAGTGAAGCATCTGTCACTGAGGATTGGAATCACGGCGATGCGATCCTCGATTCGGGGGCCACTCATCATGTCACCAACGAGGTGAGTGTTCTCATCAACTATTCCCCTCTCAGCAAGCCAATCCCACTACATGTTGCAACCGAGTCTGAAGGAAATTTTCTCACAGGAATCGGCTCATTAATTCTCAAGAGCGACTCGGGTGCACAAGTCATTATCAAAGACGTGTACTACTGTGAACGTGCTAAAGGAACTTTGGTGTCATTGGCAGCTTTGGTGGAGGCCGGATATGTTTTTTCTGTCATCAATCATGATTTGTGTTTATCAATTGGATCTCATCTCATCACTTCGAAATACAAGAACCGTCGCTGGTTGATTCCCGTACATACCGATCCTACCGTTCCCCATAAATCACTTGAGATTTTCTCATCTTGCCGCACGCGAGCTTTCACCAGAGAAGACAGTCTTGAGGCTTTGAAGTGGCACAAGAGATTTGGCCATGTAGGGTTGAGGGTGATCAAACGACTGCTAAGTAAGGAAATGGCAACAGGACTTCCCGAGCACATATTGGACGCCCCTTTCCAATGCTCTGACTGTTTACTTAGCAAGAGTGTTAGACATCAAACGCTGGGTCCGTCGGGAAGAAAACGGCCCCAAGCGCTTGAACTTATAGTTTCTGACATCTCAGGCCCTCATGATGATGAGTTTTTTGGTTATAAGTATATGATAACTTTCAGAGACGTAGCTACCACTTTTACGGAGGTCACGATAATGAAGTCAAGAGATCAAGCCCCTGATGCTTTCAAAGAATTCGTGATCAAGATGGAACGCCAAACTTCATTGAAGGTCAAGACACTACGAACCGATGGTGCCGGCGAATTTACCTCAGCTACGTTCCTCAATTGGTTGAAGTCTCAAGGTATTACGAAAGACAAGACTTTACCGTACGAACACAATCAAAACGGCTGTGCTGAACGATCGATCCGAACAGTGTCCGATATGGGACGAACGATGCTGATTTCCTCTAAACTCCCAAAGTACTTCTGGCCTTTTGCATACACCAACGCAGGATACCTCCACAACTGCTTACCTAATGTCAACACCGGCAACAAAACTCCTTGCGAACTACTGTTCGGCCAAAAACCGCATCTCGAAGGCTTACGCAACTTTGGCGAAGAAGCTTACGTTCATATACCTTCTGAACGACGAGGAAAGCTAGAACCACGGGCTCAGAAGTGTACTTTCATTGGTTATATCCCAGGAAGTAAAGGCTGGAGATTTTTTAATTTTGAGACTAAGAAGATAGTAGAATCATCAATGGTGGTTTTTACTGAAGATAAAGAACCCGTCTTAGGAGAATCAAATGACCAACAAAAATCTAAGGGTGATCTTCAACACATTCTCAATGCCTTACAACTCGGAAACTTCGATGCTGAAGAGGCAGTTATGCAACAGGATGCGCTCGTGGCTTTAGTAGAACGCACGATTCAGGAGGGTGATCCAACTATTCCGAAGACGTATAAAGAAGCAATGAACAGACCTGATGCTCATAAGTGGAGGGAAGCGTGTGAGAAGGAAATGAATCAATTTAGAGAGATGGAGGTGTGGGAGGTTTGTGAGCTGCCTGAAGGCCGAAGGGTAACTGACGCGAAGTGGGTTTTTGACATCAAGAGAGACGGCACGTACAAAGCCAGGTATGTGGCTCGCGGTTTCTCTCAAATCCCTGGAGTCGACTACACCGAGACTTTTGCACCAACTGCGACTTTTGCGGCATTAAGGATGATTGTGACAATTGCGGCAATGATGGCGTGGCCTGCGTTGGGATTCGACGTCACCGCTGCATTTCTTCATAGCGGGTTAGAAGAAGATATTTGGGTTAGGCAGCCGGCTGGTTTCTCTTATGGATCTATAAGAGCAGTCATGAAGTGTCTCAAAGCCCTTTATGGGACTAAGCAGGGAATGCGATGCTGGTGGAAATTCATATCTGACAAGCTTGAGCGGATGGGTTTCAAACCGAGTCAGTTCGACGGTAGCTTTTACATCTTGAGAAGAGGGAAGGATACTTGCTTGATCTGGTTACATGTAGATGACGGTGCTGTTACTGGAAGTAGTTTAGAGTTATTGAAGGAGATTGAAAACTTACTCAAGAAAGAGATCAAGATCAAGTGGGAAAACAGCTTAGATTCAATTGTAGGGGTGGATATAAATCGAACATCACTTGGAAGCTTTGAAATGTCTCAACCTAAATTAGCTCGACGAATCATAGCCGACAACGCCGACCTACTGTCTGTTCTAAGCGCTGAGAACCCACTCAGTGTGTCAACTCGTCTAGAAACCAATTTGACTGCTCCTCCGGTCGACGGGGGGAGATATCTTTCTATTATTGGGTCGCTTAGTTATTTAGCAGTGGGTACTAGACCTGATCTGTCTTACTCAGTTAATTACCTAGCCCGATACGCAAAAACTCCTCAAGATGATCATTGGAGCGCATTGAAACACTTATTGAGATATCTACGCAAGACGCAAGACATGGGAATTTTAGTCGAACCA